AAAAAAAAAAAAAGTAAAAGGTACTCAACAATTTGGTAAAATAACATTGAGGTCACCATGTCTTCAAAAGCAATGCAAGAAGCTGATTAGATATAATCTTATTTTTTCATATATAAAATGTATAAGATATGTGCCTCAAGTTTCTTATAATGTTTAGATTATTTATTCAAGGTTTTTTTAGTGAAAAAAATAATAATAATTTTCTCAATAGAATTTTTTTGCAAATACCATAGAGGAATTTGCACCACATACCATTCAATACAATTTATATTACATTTATACACCCCATAAATATATATTTGCAACTCTACTAAATTCTACATACTTATTTGCACATGTACCAGATTTTTCAATTTATTAATTATGGAGAATAAATATAGAAAGAGAGGTATATTTATAACCAATCCCTATTATCAAGGAATTAATTTTCTCTTTCTTTCATCTTGTTCTCCATTATCTCAATCATTTCCTCATCAACTATTTTCTTCAAATGAAACGCAGGTCAAATTAAAAATATTGTGCACAGCCTCAAGGTAGCAAATGAAGGTAGCCATGAGAAAAAAAAATATAATAATTTTGTGTTAGTGGTTAATTAATTGCTTATTTTCTATCAATTTTGTTTTCATTTGATGACTCTGGATCGAGAGGAAGAAACAAGAGGTGGTGAAAAGCAAAACCCACAGTAAGTATAATTGTATCTCTTCATTTATTTATATTAATTTTGTCCTGTTTTTGTTTATATTTAATTGTGTCTCTCGAGTAGATGCTTCTCGTTGGTGGCGATGACGGGTAGTGAACGGACGCCGGCGGTGGTTGCAGGCTTCTCGTGTTCGGTGACTTGCTGATGGAGATCCTCGGCGATGGTTGCGTGTTCGGTGACTCGCTGAATTTATTTTATATGTACAATATATATACATATATTGGGATATGTACAATTATTGTACATCTTAATTTATGTTTAGTATATTAGTTTATGTACAAATTAGTTTTTGAATGAATGTATGTTTTTTCTGTTTTCAATGTTTATTCATAGTTTATGTTTGGTATATTATAAGATTTTATTGACAAAGCATAAACTTATTTTTTATTTTCGTTTATATGTATGGTTTATAGTAAGTTTATTTTCAGTATATGATAAAGAAATTTATCGCGAGACAAAGCATAAACTGATTTATTATTTTTTTTTTTTTTTGTATATGTATGGTATATATTCAGTATATTTTCGATATATGATAGAGACAAAAGAAAAAAAAAAAAAGAAGATACAATTTTTTGATGGAAGACATTTTTTTTTCATTGCAACATATACTGAATATATACTAACATAAACGCAATATATACTGAATATATACTAACATAAACGCAATATATACCACATGACAACTGCGTGAATTAAGGAATTCTAGTTGCGCACATATACTGAATATATACTAATATAAACTTAATATATACCATCTGACAGCTGTGTGAATTAAAGAATTCCAATTGCACGAATTAATTATTTATTTTTATTTTTCGAATTCTAGCTGCGCGCATATACTGAATATATGCTACTATAAACTTAATATACACCACCTGACAGCTGCGTGAATTAACAAATTTCAGTTGCGAGAATTAATTATTTATTTTTATTTCTCTCTCTTATAAGTCAGCGATAATTAAGGATGGAGCGTTTTATTTGTATGGTTATTTACATGAGGTATACTTCTAATAAAATCCTAGATTTTAGGTATAGATACAATTAAATTTGTCCAACTCGTAAAAATGCAATATCTGGAAAAATGGTTCATTTTAAAAAAAAAAAATAAATAATATTTTCGCTTTCTACAAATTTAAAGAAAACATATATATTTTAGGTAGTTGATGGATATCTTGATAACTCCAATTAAAACATATATTAGGTAGTTGATGATCATCTTTATAACTCAAATTAAGAAAAAACGGAGTCATATATATTTATTATTATCCTTTGTTAAATTAGGCAAATCAATTTCAACACATGTCATTTTCTCTCTCTTAAGACTTTAATGTTTGGCGTAAATTAAGGATATCAGTTACCATTTATTTAGGTAACTAATAAAAAATGGTAATCTCAATAATGGTAGATATATAATTTTTTCACTCAGTTATGGCACATATCCAAAAAAAATGTGGTGAGTGGTAAATCTGCAATACTTTGCAATTCTTACGGGAAGAGTGAAAATTTCCCAATACCATATTGTTGTATATTTGAAGATTCAAAAGATTTTGAGCCCAACGAAATATTTTGAGATTTCTCATAATCATATTTAATAGGGAAAGTCATTTCTTCTTCAAATAATTTGCTTCAAAATATGATAAGGGAGAGAAATGGGATTTGAATGAGGAAAAAAACTCCATATATTAAATGAGGAAGAAATAAAAAAGAAAGATATTATTATAAGATTGATTGTTTAAAAAAGGAAATATGACAATGTCTTTTACATGATATTGTGATAACTACAATGCCTAGGTGGCAACCGAGTCTCTATGTCAATTCAAATTATATAATTGTATCAAAAGATATTACGAAACGTGTGAGTCTACCGCTTAAGCTCAACACATTCTGAAATTATATATAAGAGAATCAATCAGATGGCCTTTTCAAAGCACTTTGTACAATGCCATATGTTTACATCGACCATATTTAAAAGCGAAGCGAAGTTCAGACTCACACCGCTTAAGCTCAACACATTCTGAAATTATATATAAGAGGGATATAAATAAAAATGACATTGTGTATTTTATATACAATATCAAAAGTTTTCTTTTTCACTTTATCTAACTAATTAATGTTAATTGCAAAAAACCATAAAAATGTATGATGACAAAATTCATTTTGTTTTATTGTTATTCCCTATATATAATTTCATAACGTGTTGAGCCGAAGTGGTAAGCTCGAACGCGTTGTAATCCTATTTCGCAGTTATATGCTTTGGACTTACACATAATTAGGCTCGATCGTCAACTAGGCATTATAATTATCATAATATTTTGTAAAAGACATTATTATTATTTTCTTTTTACCAATCAATCTTATAATGATATATTTGCTTTTATTTCTTCCTAATTTATGGATTTCTTTTTTCCTACTCTCAATGATTTCTTTTTTACCAATCAATGATATAATTTCTTTTATTTCTTTTTATTTCTTTTTTCTTATTCAATTCTTGTTTCTGCCATTTATCATATTTTCAAACAAAATATGTTAAAGAAGAAACGACATTTTCTATGTAAATATGATTATGAGAAATCTCAAGGCATTTCGTTGGGGCTCAAAATCTTTCTCCATCTTCAAATATACAACAATATAGTATTAGCACAAAAAAATTATTGACAAATCAATTTTTTTAACTGGAAAGAAAAATATATATATATTAAATAAGTAATCTAAACATTATAAGAAATTTAAGACTCATATCTTATATATTTTAGAGAAAAATAAGATTAGACCTAATCTCATTCTTGCGTTGTTTTTTATGACTGACATCAATGTTATTTAACCACATTATTAAGTACATTTGACCTTTTTTTCATTGTTTTGTAGATTTAGTCGATTAGTTTTACAAGATCATATTATATTTATAATCTATTTTGTTATTGTAATAAATAACCACGCTAAAACCTGGTCCACAATCAAACCATAAAAAAAAAAATAAATAAATAAAAATAAAAAAAAGGACCAGAGGACAAAGCAAACCAGCAAATATTTCTCTGTACAAACATTCACATGCATATGTGTGCAGAGGTCACAGCAAACCAGCATATCACAGTACAATCTAGTAACTTAAAATGTTGGATGAAGTCGGGCATACATTATATACAAAGTAATAGAAAACCCTGAAGAAAGGCCTAGCTGGAAAACAATAATATAGTCGATACTCGCTTTCGACAGAGCAGAAAATAGCACACACATCAACAGCTGGAGATATCGCTGATTTACCAGAAAGGACACCACCTGAAACATGATGACAAGTTTCCGATCAGACACGACTAAGTTATACCAGAACCAAATTTTTTCCCACTTATTCGCTTACGCAAGTAATATTTGAAGGTTTGAATAAGTGCGTTGGATACAAAAAGATACCCATCATCAGTTTTGACGCGATCACAAAAAGAAAGAAAACATCCAACTTTTAGAAGTTGCAAATATATTATTCGATTATTGGAATTTATAACAGCCAGGGAAATATTACTCTTTCAATATAAAACTTGAAAAAGAATAAACTATGTGTTCTTTGATACTCTATATAAATACATACCCGACATAATTTTGGCACAGATTTTCATGTGACGTCGCTTGGAGTATAAGCTTCTGGACTTGCACCTTGACAGATAATCCATGTTCGGCCTCGTGAGTGTCTCCAGGGACCAAGCTACTTTGCTGATCCAGATAACTTTGGACAGAGCTAGATGGAAAAGAGGAGAAATCCCTTCCCGTAAGCTTATTGCTCATTCGTGCCATGACAACCACCGCTCGTTCATTCAGAACCTCATTAGCATCACCCAATTGATTCACAGCCTAAAATAGATGAAATTTTTTCGAGTCTTGAGAAAAAACATTGTTGGCAGAAAGAACAGATATAACGGTACAGGTTTTAGCCTGATGGCAGAAACTCCGTATACCTACCTTTGAAAATTACAAGTATGAACCCATTAAAGGTGCTCACATATATATTACAAGGACGCAATAGGTAAAGAGAAACAAATGTTGACAAGGTATCTATAAATGGTAACTAATTTATTTCACTAAATTGGATATGATTTTTGTAACTAAACAAAGGGATGCTTGGATAAAAAAATCAAAAAAAAAAAAAAAAATCAAAAAAATTATTTTCAATCAATCACTTTTTTTTAACTCAAATCTAACTCAACTCAATCTCTCATTATTCTCAATATTATCAATATTATAATTAGATAATACCACTCAATCATTCTTATATACTTCATCAATCTTAATTCACTATTCATCCACTCACATAATTTTAACTAATAATCACTTCACATCATCTCTCCTACTTTTACAACAAATCAACTTTAATTATATTATTTTAATATAAACTTGAAATCCTACTAACAACTAACCATACCAAACCAAAAAATCCAAACAAAATCAAAACAACTGATATCCAAACATCACGTTAAACCCAGTAACTATTAACCAAATACCTGAAGGAGCTCTCTTTCACGAATGACCCGCTGTGGCTGAAGCATCTCTGCACCAGGGACGGAGTCCTCTCCATTCACAGTGGGTTGGGCATGAGCACTCGTAAGAGTAGGCACTTGAGGAACTTCATTGAAGTTAAAGAGACGCCAATTTATCAACGGGTCGTGCACAAATGCCTGAAACAACCAGCCAACACCAATTTCTTCATTATTTGGGGGATCGAATTCCAACAACTTTAAAGTACTACAGTCAACACTAGATATATGTATTACTTCACTCAGCCTATCTCATACTTTAAACTAAAATTGACTTGTATGTCTAAAGAAACGAGTTGCTAACCGGTACGTGTTAAAAATCAGAATGGGATGAAGTAATTATTTATATGTGTAAGAATAAGTTGAAAAACTGCAAAGTAACTTCAGCAGAACAAGCACAATAGTGGAACAGCACGTGAACAATAACGTCGCAGAACATGCACAAAATTTGACATTTCGTGTGCACAATAATAGCTGAAAATGTAACATTCGAAAAGAAAAGAGCACAATGGTATTACAGAATATTCATAAGAGTACAAATATAATGGTGGAGGTTTCAATCTCGTATCTCAATCCAAGGCCGCATTCTCATATCATATGAACATGTCTGTGTGTGTGTGTGTGTGTGTGTGCAAATTCAATACCTCCATCATTGCCATCACGCTGTCTTTGTTCGTTCGCAAAACCTGCATGACACTTTCGCAGGTGGAGCGGAAGTTCCCTTCAATACCACTGACCTCCATTGCTCTAACAAGCATTCTGGTCAGGCGGAAGGGAACCTAGACAGACCAATAATGATATTTTAGGAACAAATATTCCATATTTTTTTTTCCGTATACGATTTATAAGAAAACTTGGAAGGAGACAATAAAAAATGATTTAAAATATTTAAACTTGAATGAGGATATGTGTTTTGATCGAGCACGATGGCGATATGTGATCCATATAGCCGACCCCACTTAGTGGGATTTTAACGGCTTGTTGATTGATTGATGCGATTTAAATGAAAACATGAAACAACAGCTAACCTTTTCAGGGAATTTCTCACGGTTCATTGAAGCTTCAAAGCAATCTCCAAAGTCAATATGCAATATCTTGCCGCTGTTGACGGTAACACATACAAGTAAGCTCAAATTAATATAAATACAATTACAGGTATTGGCATGTATATACCTATAACGATGCAGCATGAGGTTGCTTGGATGTCTATCACCCAGGCCAAGCAAGTAACCAACCTGACAAAATCGAAGCAGTTTAACACACTCAGGGAGACCCTTGGGGATAATTAGATAAAAGGTTTTTTTCCCAATAAACATAATGATACGACTGTCAACTAATAATTTAATAAAATGGTGATACAATATGAGAGGGCAAAAAACTTTCTACTAGTAGTAACTTATTTCTGATAAATTTCTTTATTAGTATAAGAATTAACTTATTCACTGATCTTTCTTCCAACCACTCAAAAATGTAATATAACTGCCTCAAACAATGTTCAGCACTTAGAGGGTCAATATAAGAATATTTCTGGCACTTATGAAGTAAGTATCCCACAGTAGTACTTCAATCAGGCAGTTCACGTGACAGAAAGCTTGCATGCATTTAGAGATAAAGTTATCAAAATGTTTTTAGTGATGCTTGTTAAAAAATAAGATCAAGCACATCTTGAAATATATTAGGAAACAGCTCACTTGATCAGAAAACAATTATCTTGAGTAGTGTAACCGTCTTAAGTAAGAAGTTATTACCATACTCATAACGGCCAAGCTTCTTGTGTAGTTGGTCCTCCTGTCCAACCAGATCTCTGAAGTGCGGCTCTTTAACCAGAGCACCTAGCATTTGCAAAATAAAGTATAAGCATGAATCAGAATGGAAGGGTACGCCATGAATTTTCAATTTTCTAAAATCTAAATGATCCCTACCCTAGAAAGGTCATTTCCTTCTGTATTTTGCAAGGCGTACTCAAACACCTCAACTTTTGATATAAGAGGCAAATGATCATAGTCTGGAGCAAAACCGAGCATTAATTTATGTTCGTGATTTAGGCTGATCTGCAGAAGCCAGTATACACCATAATAATCAGTAAATGAACCATCCCCCCCAAAAAAAAAAAAATAAATAAATAAAAAATAAAAAAAAATAAAAATCAGAAAAAGAAAAACATTGAGAGGTAAAGCACCGAGCAGAACCTTTCTGGCATCTCTGTACTCCCGAATGAGATGGTGCAAGGTATCACAATTTGGGACCCATTCTATGAGGCCACTGTTTGGAGATAGTGGAATGACCTCATATCTTTGGATAGACAGATCCTTCGCAGCAGTTTTTCTAGAATTTGCCAGAAGCGTATTTACCAATCCAAAGAGCTGGTAAAGTAGCACTTCAGTAGTTGATAAATAATAGAAAGGCAATGAAGAAGCATTCAAATAATCACCAGAAAATGGTAGTTGATAAGGTTACGAATAATATTACTCTCAAAATTAACTTCGTATAAAACAAGGATGCATAATTTAGCAATACGAGTGATATTATGCAGCAAATAAGGCACTGAATTTATGAAAAAAACCTGCATCACACGCTCATCTTGACGTAAATCTTCATGCCCCTTCAACAAGAAAGCATATTCTTCCCCATCACTTCCATGTATTGTCAACTTACGAGGCCGTTGTTTGGAAGTAATGACAACAAGTTGGGGCGCAAATGATCCAATAGTCACCACAGGAGAGTCTGGGAAGCAATCACAAAATCTGTTAGCTAATGCTCAAACTCACATGCATATATTTTGCACATCAGACTCAAACATACCAGCTTTATAGGTTCCAGGGACAGCAAGTTTTAGATCACGGCACTGCAACAATTCTGGAGACACCGACTGTTTCAAAAAAGATAAAAGGAACACTTAGTATTTTAGGAGCAGTAAAGACAAACACAAGCGTGAACTTCTCGTGCCTGCAAGTCCAGGGTGGTGAGTGTCTGAAGCTGCTTATCAATCCGCCTGAATACATGGTAATAAAGATCCCAAGCCTAGAAGGGAAACTTTCATTAGCAGCTGCATATACGTGAATAAAACTACACTATATGCAAATGGAAATCCGAATGCAATATTCAGAGAAGCACTTCAAGATCTTAGATCTTCACCACCATTTAAATAAGTTATATACTTGATTGAGCAGTAAACTAATTTTTATTACAAAAGAAATGAAATTCCAACGTAAGAAACTCATATCTATATAATTGGACATTCTTCTCCATGCTCATAAATATAGTTGATGAATTGGTTTAGAAAGGATGTGTTCGTGAGAGCCACGAAATTATCATGAGAGCACTGCTTCGCATAGATATGTGTTTGGTGATTTGACCTATATTCTTTATTACATAGTATCTTTATCTGTTTTTTCTCTTGCACTATTATGATAAACATTTTTTAATATCAAGGGACATATAAAAGATCAGAATGCATCCAGTGTGGGTGCAGGAGGGCATGTATATGTGGTGCAACTAAGCCACTTAGAATTAGAGTCCTGATTATTTGGTTCTCCCAAGGATATAACTTATAAATTATGTGATAATTTCATGTGGTCTTCCACGTAGATGATAATTTTAGTAACATATGATGATGGGAAATCCATACTGCAAACAAATGCACAAGTTGAAACATGATTGGATTTTCATGTAAATTTTTACCTGAGTTAATTCAGCATCTTTTCCTGTCCTTCTGTATCTGATGCAGCAGTCATAGGCCTCTAAAAGTTCATGACGGAATTGCTGATAATTATCGACAAGTAAATGACAATGAACCAAAGTCAATGAGGAATAATGGAATTAGTCCAAAGATCAATTTCTTCTAAGCAAATGCAAGAAAGAGACATTTTTTTACAATTGATTTTGATACAAAAGAGAACATCATACAAGCAAAGAAATCAATTGATTACAAATCTTTAAATGGACAATTCATAAATAATTTTCAGAAAAGCCAACATGTTGGCAGATAGATCACCTGAATGAAGGCTTTCTCTTTCATGGTAGTATTGCTCCTCATTGCACCTTCCTCAAGCATTTGGTGTAATGGCTCTAAAACATTCAGCATTCCCTCAACATTATGTTCACCAAAATATAAGCGGCTTGCCTCTTCTAATGCCTCGTGCCACATTTCATGCCAAAGTATCGCAACTCGGATCAACTCCGTAGATACAAGTTGGGCCTACACAATTCAAGCATAGAGGTCAGATAAATAAGACAAAATATTGTTACCAAGAAAAGATTGTTAGCATGTTATTCTTTCACCTCATCCACTAGCACCCCACTATGCTGTCTAACTCTATCAACCACTTCTTGAGCTGCCTGTTTCCTTAAATTGCTAATAGATTTGCATGCCACAAGAAGAGGGTACATAAGAGCCTGAAAAGTGAATCACATTAGTGATGAATATCACGACAAACTGTCTACATATAACTTGCATGTCCCAAAAGGTCAATCTGAAGAAGAAAGAAACATTACGACTATTTGAAACTATTAAAACTCGTCGGAGCACTACTTTATTTAAATATTTTCATATTCCATGATGAAGTGCCTCAGCTTGAAGGATCCACTAATAAACACCCGGATCGAAAATTACCTGGCCTACCAAATACTATGTTATGTATAGTTCAGTAATAGTTCATGGGATTTATGGTCATAAACGCACTGTATGATTTTGATTTAATTCTTTGTTCAGCACAATATTCTCCAGAAAGACAAGTGTCTCAAATAAAGCAATAACATTTACTTGTCATTTTCAAATAAAATTTATCAACCGTCAATGCCATGGA